ATATTCATATACGCTTACATACATACAAAAACGTAGGTATTTTGTCGCCTGAATAGCGCCGTTTATATTATAAATAGACTTAGCGATAAGACGGCGACAAGAGGCGCGCAATTTTAAATGCGCTTAGAAAAAATCATTTTGTTTATTTGATTAATCAAGCAAATGATTATTTGCCGATTACTGTTATTTAACAGCATGCGGCTAACAGTGCCGCTAATTGGCTACGCCTGCACAACTTATCTGCCAAGCGGCATTTCAAATAGCTTCTGATAAGAAATACAAAATAAAGAAGCAAAAAAAGCTAAATCAGAAGTCTAACAACAAAGCCTTTTGATCGCCCGGTTTTGTTTACAAATTCACCGCACCTTCGATTGGTGACAAGCTGTCTGTTACGCTAATTGCTGTTGTTATTCTTGTAGTTGTGCTTTATGTTGGAAACAGAAAATAAACAATATAAATTTGTGACGGACACGGAATAAAAGCAGGGCAAAGCGAAAAAAAATATATATGTATATTTAAATCAACATGTAAATGGATATACCTTTGCGTGCGTGCTATCTTTGTTTAGGCAAAATACAACAAAATATGTAATAATAAATAAGAAAAAGACACAAATCATGTTGGTAAATAATATGCAAAAACAAGCGGCGAAAATGAAAACGAAGAGCTGGTGGTGGGCAGCAGGAGGGGGGTATGCATGAAGAAAGCGTTTTGTTACAGGCGTAAATTATACACACAACGAAACTCCCACAGGAAGTTCGATAGCAGCACAAACAATGCCCAGCAGCAGCAGCAGCGCCGACTGCAGCAACGGCGGCGGCGGTGCAAGACAAAGCACATACAAAAAAATCATAAAACATTGTATTAGTATATGTCTGTGTGCTTGTATATGCCATGCAAGCGAAAACCGTATATGACCCAATTAAGTGAACCCAAGCGCTTGTGTAATTATGAAAGCTGTGTCTGTGTGTGTATAAATGTATATGTGTTTGTGTGCATTGGAGCTGGAATTTGCAACGAAGCGAAAAGGTTGCCACTCTTGCCGAAGTCGTTGTTTCTGTTTATATTGTTGTTGCTGTTGTAGTTGTAGTTGTTAGTGTTGGTCATGCAGATTGCAGACAGCGGCGAGAGCGCCAGCGCCAGAGAGCAAGTTTGAGGGGAGTTTGGCAGACGCTCTTACACCAACTTACACATATACAAGAAATGCATTAAGCCGAATCGTTGACCGCAAGCTCTGCCAGCAGCACAATATCCAATTGGAACGGAAATCAAATACCGAAGGCAGAAAAAAAACACCTCAAATAAAACACGGTAGCAAAAATAACAAAAACCAAGTGGCCAAATGGCGACAATAATATTTTATCTTAGAGGCAAGAGGTCAACAGCATAAAGTGCTGCCACACAAAAGCCGCAATAAAGAGAGGAAGTGGTATAAGCAAAAAGGCAATAAAAATAGCAGCAACAACCCTTGGGTCGCCCTTAATTATTTAAAAATGGAGTTTAAAGTACACACACACAGACATACGTACGTACGTACTTATAGGCGCATTAAAACCCCACCCAAGAGCAGCTTAATCTTTGGCACCAAACACTTCACACACACGCAAAGCACTTGCATGTCCTGCTGAGTGTGTCAGAACGGAAACGTGTAGATAGGCAAGTTAGAGAGAGAGAAAAGGAGCGTAAGCGAGCGAGTTAACGGAACACACCCTAGCGCTGACGTTCTAAAAATTGCATTAGCACTTGCAGAGAGAGGGAGCTAAAGGGCAAGAGAGCACGTAATGGGGAATACCGTAAAGAGAGGGACGCCAAAATGCATGCAGACAGCTGTGTGCACAGAAACAAAGAAGTATACCAACAAATTTAATGATTTCTCGTGGCCCAGGTGAGTAGACACATGGCAAGGACAAGCATATAGGGCGGACGATATGGCAACGATAGTGACAGCAAAGAGGAAACACGTCGGAAACTGAGACGGGGACGTACAACATGAAAACACACGCACACAGCCACATACAGGGTGCAGGACAAATGACGAGTGTATAATGACGTTTTTGACAAATACGTAATGTTCCAGAATGAGTCATTCAGTTGTACCTAGAGATGGGCGCGGTTCCACCTTGTCAGTGGCGTGACACGACGCTAAAATCGTGAACGCTTGAATAAGTTAATTAAGTTTAAGGTTATTTTTTATAATAAATTAATTATAAGCAAGTATGCCAACAAAAATATTTCTATAATATACACAGAAAATAGATTGAAATAGATTGGAATCTTATTAGATTGTATGCTTTTAGATGTAGTTCCAATTAGCCCGATTTAATTAGATTTTCGAAATTTCTACAATCATGTGTTGAAACAGAAACCAAAGTAAGATGATTTTTTTTTTTTGGTATTTTAATGTTTAATGTATCTCTAATTTCTGGAAGATTTTTTCTCGTCCCTTAAAGCCCAAGTCACGCGACCATCTTTAGTTTAAAATCTACTGTCTCTATGTTAGCTTACCTGAGGCGGAGCACCGGCATTGAAATGATTCTCGAAAGGGTCCGACAACAAGAGCGGCTCCTGCTGCTGCTCCTTTGTTTCTTCGACAAGGTGTTTCTCCTCGGTGGAGGAGGACAGAGGTGATGGTGTAATGTCCACAATGTCTGCCTGTTCTGGCTGGAGCTCAAGCGTTGTGGTCGTGGCTGTTGGAGCCGCATCTTCGTTTTCTGGAAAATCTGCGAGCGGACTGAACATGGGCGCACTGGTGTCTAGCAGTAGACTCTGATCCTGATCGTGATCTTGTTGAGCGAATGCATCACTGGAGGTGTGCTCCAAATAGAAAGAGGCCTGCATGGGATCGATCGGTTGACGTGGCTGCTGATGCAGCTCCTCAATGGAGGGCGATTGGGAAACAAGCTCCTTCTCCTCCACATTGAGCAACTCCTTCTCCTTGAGCGGCTCCTCGCCTGGTGTTTGCTGCGGCAACGTTTGCACCGAATTCAATATGTCTTCAATTGGGGCACTCGAGTTTGATTCGCCGTAAATGGACTGCTTCATAATGTCGTCTTGAAGCTGTGTGGGCACAAAATTCGTATCTGCATGTGGCTCCTGCAGCTCCAAGTTTGCATCCAAATCGGCGTCCAAGTCAACGCTGGTCTCCGGACCATGATCGATGCGCTGCTCTAGCTGCTGATAGATCTCGCTGCCATTCTGGAGCTGATCGGCGGTAGTCAGATCGGATTCGCCGGGGAACGTGTCATCCTCCTGCTCCAGCTCGTGCGGACGCCTGTCGGCTCCATTGTCGAACTCGCACTCATCGGGCAGCGCAATGGTGTCCATGTTGCAGTCGCGTGCTCCTTTGCGTGGACTCTCAGCGACTAGATCGTCGGCCAACAGTTGGCGCCCGAGCGTCTGCAGTGGCTCGCCGGGTGCCGGCGAAGCTGGCTGCGAGCCAAAGTGTGGCACAAATTCAACAGCATTGGGATTTAGTTGCGAGTGCGGCTCCAGATCCAGCTCCAGATCTAACCCAGCCTGTTCCTGGCCAGTTGGATGGACATTCTCCTTGTTATCAAAGTGTTCTGCTCGTACATCGCTGGCTAATTGCTCTGGTTCTTGTTGTTGTTCGCTGAGGCTGCTAGTGCCATAGGTGGTTGCCACAGAGCTTGGCTCATCCTCCTCATCTGCATCCGCGTCATCTGGCTGCAGTTGCTCTGCTTTTGGCAACGACGCCTCCTTTGGCTGCGGCTCCACTTCACCCGTGGTTGAAGTTGTGGTCGTGTTAGAGTTGCTTGAAAAGTCGCCATCATGCTTAATCACCTCGACGTCCTCTTCTTCTTCGGCAGCTGCAGCAGCAGCTGCTCTGAAGCCGGCTGCGCTGCCAACGCCATTGCCCAGGCTCAAGTCCATGCCGAGCGACATGTACGCGTCGCTGCTGCTGCCAACAGCGACGCCGTTGCCGTTGCCGTTGCCAACACCAATACCAATACCATTGCCAACACCAACGCCAAAGGCGACGTCGACGTCAGCGTCGCTAAACTTTTCGCCGTAGAATTGATGTTGCTGCTGCTGCTGTTGTTGCTTTTCGCTCTGCTGCACTTCTTTTATGTACTTCCATTCTTCGTCGTCATCGTGCTCGCCAGACTTGGGGCCAATGTTGGGCACCAGCTCGGCAGCAACGTCTGCCGCATTGCCGGCGCTGCCAGCGTTTTGCAGACTCTCCGCAAGGCGATTTTGCAAGAAATTGTCGAAGTGCGCGTTATCCTCGTGTTCCATTTTGATGCAGCAGCTGCTTTCTAACTTTTGCAATAATCAATTGCTGTTGGTGTTTTTTTTTTACTTCTTGTGTGTTTTTACTTTTTCGACTTCTCCTTATTTTTTTAAAGATGCCAACAAAAAAAACTGATGTGATTCAGTTTGTGCTCTCGCTCAGTCGTGATTCACACGCCGCTTCTTGGCTCTTCTTTCTTGCAAATTCTCCTTTTGCTCTTGCGCCGCACCGCCTCTTACATACACACACACACACGACAAAGAGAGATACACGCACACACTCAAACGAACAGCCGCCAATCACGAAATGCTTCTTCTTTTTGCGCAGTCCTGCTTCCCAAATGTGCTCACAAATTAACTGACTTTTAACGCGCACGCAAACACATTAATTTTAATTTTAACAAACAGTTCAATGTAGTGTAAAGTCTAAACAAATCGCAATTCAAACTTTTCTATATTTTCAGTTATTTTTGAAAATCACTTTGCCCACCGATTCTTGCGCACATACGACCTTCCAGCTTTAAAACAGAATTCACAATGTTGTGCGCGATACAAGAATTCGATATACTAGAGATGGTAACTGGGTATCGATTTGGTGGTAGCATGGTGAATATAGGTGTTGAATACACAATTCACAAAATATATCGATGACCTACTCGATTAATTCCCTAATATTCACAAAATTAAGCCCGCTACCAACTGCACTTCAGTTAAAATTTCGTGAAAATGTAATCATTTTTTGGCGGCAGTTTTGATATGCTGGTCTTATATATTAAATAAATTAATGACATCGGTTTTGATCTTACCAAATAACTTAGCCTGACTAATATTGTTATAACTAATTAATTTAGGCAGTCAGAAAGCAGAACTATGTATTAAATGTAGTTGAGACTTAAGCGCTTGATAATTCAACATTGTAGCTCGTAGCCACGAGTCCTTCACGCAGAAGCGTTGAAACGGTTTGCTATTGTTTAAGTGATTCCTATAATACTTATCGTAAATCATTTTAATTACAGCATTTTGTACAGTAGTAGATTGAGGATTCATGTCTTTCCACCCTTGGCTACACCTTTCAGAATCTCCGGATAAACAATTCATGTTGACGTTGATAAAATCACCGTCATCCCACCAGGGCGGCACACCGTCAACTTTTATGCATTCTTGTAACCGGTCTTCTTCTTTCTTCTCAAATTCGAAAATCACCGTCATGTACTTGACGCCAACACTACAGCCTGATCCTGGTGGCAGGCCCAGTGCTGCTGCGATATCATCCCATTCATCCACATCAAGAGCTCCTCCTCGAGCTTTCACCAGTGCGTACAATCTTATTAATTGCAGTAAATCAATTTATACACATCTTTCTTCATATACACATACATACTTGAACAGATTCACGCTGCGCTCTAATATCGTACATTCGCCTTTAAGGCCACTACGCTTAAGGAAATTTCTCTCCTGTTGCTGCGGCGTGCTCCACAACCAAAGCGATGAATCTGCGGATTGTTCCAGTGGCTGTTGCACAGTCTGCTCCAGCTTTGGATGCGGTTCTAAATTCAACATGGACTTCTTTGTAGTAGGCATCTCATTCTGTTGATCTGGTTGTTGGCCTGTTGCAACCTGTTGCTGTGTTTTTACCGTCGTTTCTGTATGCTTTTTACTTATATGTCGCATTAGATTATGAAGTGATCCAGCGGCATATGTGCAGTGTGGACACGGCTGGCACTGCGATATTGGTACCTTGCCCTTGTCATGATTCCGTTCATGTCGCTCTAGGTTATACGCCCTGTTGGTAGTGTAGCTGCAGCCTCTTCTGCTGCAATGCAGATGCTCTCGCGGATTGTTCATTTTGAACAATGTTTACATATTTAGCATACCATCTATGTGCCGCTTGACAACAATCGTTAAGTAAATAAACACATATCGATAAATTGCCGTGACAAATCGTATTTTATTTGAAGGATGCGATAAACTGATTTTATGCAATGCATTCATTAACTACATTAACGTTTTTGAATTGAATAATACAATTTGATATATGAAGAAATGCTAGGAAACGGATTGCAGGTAATTAATTCAGAACAATATTATTCAAAGTAAAACAAGTGTGTTAATTTTAAATTATTTTTAGTTAATTTTCAGTCACGGTAACGTATATCGATTTTTTTCGACTATTACAGGCTCAGTCTTTAAATGCGACCAGTGAGAATTATTTGTATTGAATTACTCATAACTAGCACACCGGCATTAATAACTGATTCCAAACCAACTGCGAACGTATCACACCTGTGGGCAAAGTGCGTTTTAACAAGTTAATCAATAGAGTAAGTTAGGTGAGTTTCTCGTAATTTCGATGTTCGATGAACAAATAAATCACATTAGTTCAAAGTTCTTACTCTCAGCAACATCGAGCGCATAACTCTGATAACGAATTATTCCTGTTAACGGGCACATACCAGACTTGTGACGTCTACACTGACCTTGAACGAATAATGGAAACTGAACGCTTGGACGTGATAATATTTGGAGCCACAGGCTTCACTGGCAAATACACTGTCTACGAGGCGGTGTCTGTGCTCAAGGATTTGCGATGGGGCGTAGCCGGACGCAATCGAGAGAAACTGCAGGCGGTGCTGAAGGAGATGGGCGCTAAGGCCAAAAAGGACTTGTCGCAGACGCCCATTATTATTGCTGATGTCAACGACGAGGACTCGTTGCTAAACATGGCCAAATCCTGTCGCATCGTCGTCAATACCACAGGCCCATATCGATTCTATGGCGAAAACGTGGTCCGTGCTTGCATAAACGCCGGTACCCATCACGTGGATGTCAGTGGTGAGCCCCAGTACATGGAAACAATGCAACTGAAATACAATGAGCTGGCCAAAGAGCGCGGTGTGTATGTGATCAGTGCTTGCGGTTTCGATTCCATACCTGCTGACATGGGCATCGTTTTTGTGGAGAAGAATTTCGATGGCGTCGTCAATTCCGTGGAGACATTTTTGGTAAATGGTGTAAAGGACGCGGATGCTTCCTCTGGCAAAGCTGGTCTTAATACAGGCACCTGGGAGAGCGCCGTTTATGGGCTGGCGCACTCGGACGAGCTGCGTGGCATTCGACAGAAATTGTACCCGGAGCGTCTGCCGAAGTTCTTTCCCATTTTGAAGCATCGCCCGTTGATGTTCCGTTCCACGGAGGTAAACAAAGTTTGCCTGCCATTTCCGGGTTCCGATCGTTCGGTGGTCATGCGCTCCCAGCGCTTTCTGTACGAACACGACAAGAAACGACCGGTACAAATGCATGCCTACATTGGTTTCCCCTCATGGATTTCAGCCATTGTCGTTGCTCTCTTCGCGACCTTCTTTGGCCTGATGGCCAAATTTCAGTTCGGCCGCAGTTTGTTACTCAAGTATCCTGGCTTCTTTTCTGCCGGCTTCGTATCACCCGATGGACCCAGTGAAGCACGCATGGAACGTACCTACTTTAAAATGACCATGAAGGCGACTGGTTGGCCCAGCTCGCAGCGTCTAGCCGAGGGCACGGATCAGTACAAAGATCCACCAACCAAAACCCTCATGGTTAGAGTTTCGGGTCCGAATCCTGGCTACGGCTCGACATGTGTTGCCCTACTCTCCACAGCGGTTACCATTCTGCGAGAGAGCAACAAAATGCCGGACAATGGGGGTGTTCTACCCCCTGGTGCCGCATTTTCCAAAACCAGCCTTATTAGCGAGCTGGAAAAGCATGAGCATGGCATGAAATTTGAAATTCTGGCCAACAAATGAATGTCGTCAATTAATAGAATGGCTTCAGGTGTAGTTGTAACTAACAATTGTTGTATTCGCAAATAAAAATTACTAATTGGTGGCTTGTTTAAAAAAAATATATATAAAACTTACCTGTTTTCAATCGCATTAGAAATTCTATCTTGGGAGTTAAATGTTTTGCAAACCAAAATTACAATCGATTTCGCATATCGATAGTATCGATTGTTTGCTGACCAAACGCATCGCAATTCGACAGGCTGGCAACACTGTTATGGTCGCTGTTTTTGTTTACCTGTTCGTTTGCTGAGCTCGACAACTTATTACCATTTTGTCCGTCAACATAAAAGCTATAATTAAATAATGAGCGCCGAAATATCTGGGTTTCGGCGTTTTCTACACTGGGGTCCAATAACCGCGCTGAGTAAGTAAAGCCGAACGCTTCATATCCATTGCATGTGGAGCATACGCCCATAGGAGTCTTAATCATAGTTAATCCCATTCTGCTTATCGAAGTCTAATAAGAACGGACCAGTTGATGACATTTGCAAATTATTAAGTGCACACACAAAGTGAATGAACTGCAGCAAAAGAGAACCAGCAATTGGCCAATAACAAGTGTGCCACGCTAAGTGCCATCCCCCACCCACCCACGCTACAGAATTGTTGTGTTTTGTCTGCAACGTAATATTGTGTTTCATATTCCAAGGCGGTCAACGCCGACGCTGGCGCCATTGAGCCGCCCCCATCGTCACTTGGATGGACGCATTCTTAAGGAGTGGCCCGTCATTTAATTCCCGTAAAATGCTGCGCTAATTGCATTTTAGTTGCTGCTTGAATTAATTATTCCGATACTCCTTAAGTACCGCGAATTAAACGTGGTCCGGCCGAAAATTGCGTGCAATTTGACTATTCAGGCCCATCTGGGCGGGCAGACGGTAATATGACCATAAAGCATCCGGTTCATGTTGTGGCAACGGAAAAGGCAACCTTGATATTGAACTGCGATATTATTGTACATAGCTTAATTACTGAATTTGGCGCCGCTTGTTGCTGCCCATTGTAGGAGGAGGGGTGGACAGCGATGGCTATGCCTCTGCAGGGCTCTGCTTGGCTGCGTAACCCAAGTCAGTTAAAATACAATTGCCACCCTTGTGTTAACGCTTAATCAAGACGCGACATAAAAAGAAATATACAAATAAATGTATTTAATTTCCGTGGCACGCAAAGCACCCTCCATACCGAAACCCGATACGACTTGACGGAAAATCGCCGTACATATTGATGTTTATAAATACATATGTATACATATATAGTAGAAATCTCTTATTACCCGTGGAATGTTTAACCATGCGTACGATTCATAATAATGTTCATCTCTCTACCCATTTCAGGCATCATTAAATGCATAACGCTGACGACGCTTTACATGAACTCGATGTGGTGGCCACCGAACGAATCGTTTGCTGCCTTCGCACATCAGGCCCTGTTCCTGCTGCTCTCCACGTTGGCCACTTTCAATTACATCATGGCCACGGTGACAGGTCCGGGCCTGCTGCCAAAACAGTGGCAGCCAAAGGTAAAGCATTACAAACGGTGCCCAACCCCAAGATCCCCGACTTAGCCCAACCTCACACCATTAGGCAACTAAACCAACAAGAAAAAAAAAAGTATAAAACATTTTGTCGTGACATTGGCATGCATGGAAAATGTTTGTCAACTGTGGTCGGTCGCTTGTGCTCCCTGGTGGGTCACGATACAAATGTAGGGGCGTGTCAGGAGCAGGAGCACCTTTTATTATACATATATATACACGTTATATGCAAAGTATAGTTTTAATGGTAGGTAAGGCCTTCTTTGGGCCAGTCATCCGATTTGAAATTAATATGGTGGGCTGCAACAAACGGAAATGCTGAATTTACTTAGTTAACTATAATATATCACAGTAATTTCCATGGGCTTGTGCTTAGTGAGTGTGAGAATTCTAGAGCTAAGCTATTAGTAAAAACTATGGCGTAAAGCCGAAAAAATTTTGGATTCTAGGTTCTTACCAATGCTTCACCTGAAGGCTTGGTTCTTTAATCTGCTTTCCATTTCAATGATCCAAGGTTCGTCAAATTCTAACCAATTTTAAATTGAAAGAATTGAATCAAAAACATTTTTTAATCATTTATTAAAAAATTATTTTTCTTGAAAATCGCCTTCCATAATTACATTCGATTTTATATTTAACTTATTCTATATTCGTTCAATTTCTTTGTTTATGCTTGAAGTCATGCTCACGAATTGTGCAGAATTTCCTGCCACGAAAACGTATTGTTGGATTATGCGTGTTGGTTTCTTCAATTTTAGTACGACACACGCCCAACTCTGCTATATATATATACATGACACCCTATTCCTAAGAGCCTTCACAATTGCTTGCTTTCGTAAGCAAGGTAAGGATCCTTGTCCTTCAGTTGTTGACATGCTCTCACCTGGTCGCCCAAATGTGCTGCGTCACTTCTGGATCGGAAATTATTGTTTAGCACAACAAAAAAGCCGTGCCAGCCACTTGTTTGCACGTCCTGAGACAGCCAATCTGTGGGGGGTTGGGCAAATGCAACCGGGCAGCTCATTCATACAAACATATATGATTGCACGCGCACGAATTTGTGCCTACAAATGGGTCAGCAAAGTTGACGGCATCGCGTGCTCAACCCTTTATCGCCAACTGGCGCGTAATGCAGCAATTAGCCGCTGCAATTTACCTCACAAGTGGACGATAAGCTGAAACACAACAGGAGCCTAGACAAATCTGCCGACAGTTGACTGCTGGGGCGGTGGCAATTTTTCGACACCAAAAAATTTGGGGCCGTTGCGCCGACCTGACGACCCCCCTCCCCTCCCCCTAATAATTTATGGCCAAAAGGCTCGCACGCGACCGTAAACGCAGCCACCACGGAGCCGTGCTCGTAATGCAATTACCCAAAATTTGCATAAATGTTTTGTAGGCCAGACGCCAGACGCGACGCAATGGGCGCAGGTTAGCTGCTTGGTTGGGTCATTTATGAGCTATAGGCGTCGCTGGAATACATTATAAAACTTATATATAACGCATATTTTATATTTTAATTTGACAAGGACCCCAAGGACACGGAGTGGCTGCAGTACTGCAAGCAGTGTGATGGCTATAAGGCGCCGCGTTCGCATCACTGTCGCAAATGTAGGTGAACCACAGGAAAAACTATGCCAGCCTTTAATCACACTTAACAATTTCAATTTCTTGCAGGCAATCGGTGTGTTAAAAAAATGGACCATCACTGCCCATGGATCAACCATTGTGTTGGCTGGGCCAACCACGCCTATTTCTGCTATTTCCTGCTCTTCTCTATACTGGGCAGTCTGCATGGTTCGGTGGTTCTTAGTTGTTCCTTTTATCGCGGCATTCACCGCTATTACTACCTGACCCACGGAATGGCCCATTTGGCCAGCGTACAGTTTACAATCGGCAGCATTGTCATGTGCATACTGGGCATGGGCCTGGCCATTGGCGTTGTGATTGGACTGGGCATGCTGCTCTTTATACAGTTGAAGACAATCGTCATGAATCAGACGGGCATTGAGCTTTGGATTGTCGAAAAGGCGATCTATCGCCGATACAAAGCCGACACTTATGAGCCATTTGTCTACCCCTACGATCTAGGGTGGCGGCTTAATCTGCGCCAGGTGTTTAACGACGAGTGTCAAAAACGCGGTGATGGCTTCGAATGGCCGGTGGTCAAGGGCTGTGATCAATACACGTTGACCGTAAGTACACGACCAGTTCCCAAAAAAAAAAAACATTTCTTTCATTCATTCATTACTTCTCTCACAGCGCGAGCAGCTGGCCCAAAAGGAGGAGAAACGTGCCCGAACCCGCGTCTACAAGTGTATAAGCCCTGTGTCAGGTCGATGGATGCCGATCTTCTCACAGGGTTGGCGCATCTGCATAAATGCACCCTGCACAGACGAACCACGCATTCGCCTACAGCCCGATGACATTATCAAGGTGACGCGTTTTCGCCGGCACTGGCTGTTTGGTGAGCGTGTGCCCAGCGAGCTGGTGCACACAGCTGTGGCGCAGAAGAAGCGTCAGCGCAAAGGTCACATACGTGGCTGGTTTCCACGTCGCAGTGTCGTTGCCATTACCGAAATGCCGGATTCCGATAGCAGCGACGATGTTAAAACCGTTAAAACCTCGACTAGCAATGGACACAGTCATGGAAAGCAACTGCAACGCAATGGACTTAGCAAAAAGTATATGTAGTCGCAAATGGGAGCATACCGAGGCAATTTCAATTACAATATGCAATGCGTTCAACTGCAAATCGGCATGTAAATAGTGATAGAAACTCTTTAATGGCTCGATTTCATCATGTTTTATGAACACGCAGGTCATCTTGTTTAGATTGTTAAGTGAAAGCCAATACATAAATGATGATGTCTCGAATGATTGAGGAGAATACTATTAACAATGCAAATTAAAAACAGACAATGATTTTTTAATTTTTTGGACTGCAATGTGGTGACAGGTGACACGTTGCAAATTAAAAGTTATGTATTTTCATTTTTTTTTGGCAACCTATTTTTCCTCTTATACAACTTTAAAATATTAATACTTCTGCCGTTGTAAAAATAACTTCATTAGTTTTTTTTTGACAAACTATAACAGCTTTCGTTTTCCTATTATAAGTTACGTAAGATTTATATAATTTTTTATAAAAATAAAAGTGAGCCTATGTTAAGCATCAAAATATCCATTAGCAGATTTTTGATTTGCCCTCTTTGCATTTTGTTGCTTTTACTTAAACGTTACTTTACTTAATAATAAAAAGAGTTAATTATGATAATAATAATAAATACATGACCAAAAGTTTTTAGTGACCTGTGTATGGTAAACTAAATTTGAAGCTGGCCGTGTCAAAATCAATGCTGGTCCATTGGTCAAATACCTCAAACTAATATAATATAAGTATCAGCAAGAACACATTGCTAATTAAAGACAAACAATTTTCTGTTTGCTTTTCCCGAAAGTTCCCAGTTGGCATAGGTGCAATTTCCTAGCTGCTGATTTAACTAATTTAAGGCACAAGACCTCAAATATGGCTTTATGCTTGTTATACACGCGCACTTTTGCTGTAAATTACAAAAATTAATATACGCCTTGCACTTGTTTTTTTAATAGCAGTAAAAGAGTATATTACTTTAGATTTTTACTGGTATATAGTAGTTGATGTATAATAATATATATTTTCTATTTATATATGTATTACATAAAGTATAGGTATACGAAATTATATTATAGTATACCACGTATATATGCCCATTATTTAACAATTTATTTGGAAGCCATTGTTGCCTCGATTTCCTCCACAGTGCGTGGTACAATTGCAAAGTTCTCGGCACCGGTCTTGGTAATCAGCACATCATCCTCAATGCGCACGCCGCCAAAGTTGCGAAAACGTTCAAACATCTCTACATTGATATATTTGCGAATTAGCGGATCAGCGAGCGCCTTGTCCATAAGTTGTTTTATGAAATAACAACCGGGCTCTATGGTCACATACATGCCCGCTTTAAGGATGCGAGCAAAGCGCAACTTGCTTAACCAGGGCTCGCTGGGACGGCGAGGCTCAGTGGGCAGGTAGCCACCCACGTCGTGGACATCCAGGCCAATCAGGTGGCCCAAGCCGTGTGGCTGAAACACTCCGCAGAGGCCAGCCTCAAGCATTTCATCAACATCGCCGTTTAGCATGCCACCAGCCTTGAGCCGCTCTAGGAGCACCTTACCGGACAGTTTGTGCATTTCCACCCAGGAGACGCCATCACGCGCCGTCTCCATGACAGCATTGCGTGCGGCCAGCACCGCATTGTAAATGAATTTTTGATCCTCTGTAAATTTGCCGTTTGCCGGAAAGCTGCAAGTGATATCAGCAGCATATCCACAATAGTTGGCGCCCATATCGAAGAGACACATTTCGCCGTTTTGAATGGGTCGATTGTTGGGTGCACCAGCGTGTCCATAATGCAATATGGCCGAATTGGTGCCACTGCCGCAGATGCAGGTGTATGAAGCGTGCCGGCAGCCGCCCACAGCATAGGCATGATGCAAGAACACAGATTCGCCCTCATATTCCATACGCCCAGGACGAATGAACTGCATGACTTTAATGTGCGCATCAGAAGACACTTTGGCCACATAACGCAAGACCTCGATCTCCTCCTTGGACTTGATAACGCGACATTCCGAGAGTATGGGATAGAGCAAATCACAGTTTGTCACATATTTCTCTTTGCCTGCAAACTCCGGCGGTTGCATTGTGAGGCCGCTATCGCTGTTTGTGCCACTTAACGTAAGTATAAGCTTGGGTGCTGCCTTCTCCAGATAGGCTTCGAGTTCATCGACATAGTAGACCTCGTCTACTTCGTACATGGCCTTGAAATGCTCTGGCTTTAGCAAAGCACCCATCCATGTCTCATACTCCTCGGGCAAACGGGGCACAAACAAAACGGAAGTTGGTTGAGCCGTCTTAACATCAATGCTAACTATGCCGTAGCAACCGGGTTCCTTTGCGCCAAACATGTACTGAAAGTAGGACTCCTGCCGGAACACATAGTCAACATCAGTATTGTACAGGCTTTGATCCTTGCCACCCTCTAGAAGAACGAGCAGTTGACCAGAGCTTAACTTAATACTATCCAGTGCATTGTCTAGAATTGCCTTGCAGACTTTGTTCCTATTATTTTTAAACAATGTCATCGGCACCGCGTGACAGGATCCCATTTGAAAGCTAGCCATATTTTCCTAACGTTACGATTGTAAATGCCGGGGAGCAACTGGTGTGTTTTCGCCCTGATTAGCTAGTCAATATCTTCTTGAACCACTTGTGAGCTGCAATAAATAAGCGTTTATTATCGCTGCTTTATTTGCTTGTTGTTTTTTTTTGTTCTGCGTGTAGAAATCTCCACAACTGGTCTGCGTGAAAGCTTTTTGTAGATTCTTGAAGCGAAATTCACTAGCAATATCTGTTTGTTTATGTGTTTGGCTTTCTTTCTTTACTTGGCCTGTTAACTTAACATTTTACTAATATGTTATCTTCAGTGGGCGGCGATGTTGTGTTGAAATTCCGCCGTTACCAGCTTGCGGTGTTGCCTGTATATTGGTTTACTTAAAAAATTAAAGTATATTTCCGGAAAAAATTTGTAGCTAGCGTCTAGATAGGGATTATAAGGTTCAATTAAACAAAAAATTAAAAATTTAACAGCTGCTTTGTGAATAACAGTGCAGGGTTTGTTAACAGTGACACTTATATAGCAAATATCGATAGTTTACAAATAGAGAAATATCATAACTGTGATACCTTTTCTTGGTCGCGTATTGGCTAAATTGATATTCCAAACCAACAGTCTACAAGTTCTTTGGTGTGTTATAGGCTAAACACTCCGAGAGAAATGCACTTAGCGTATATATTGTTAATGATATAAAAAACATATTATGTAACTTAAATGATTTCAAGCGAAATTTTTTATTAAATATGCTACCTTTTAATTTGATTCATATTTGTTTAAGTACAAATTAAGTATAATCAAAAACGTATACAATAAGAAACAAGTAGCGAAAAGCGCGGTTAGCTGAAACTAGTTCACGTTCACGCTGTGATACAATGTGCACATCACTCTTGGCTGTAGCTGGTCACACTACATTCTTTCGTCGAAGTAAAATTTTTTGCAAATTCTATTTTCATATTTTTGAATAAAGCATTTCTTAAAGTGCAATAGAGCGATTTTTATTGTTGGAGTGCAACAGACGAATTCACTGCAGCCCAACTCTATTTTTAGATATAAAGAGCTTAATTGCTCTTAGCAAATAATCCTACAGCTGCGTCACAAGTTCCAATGTCGGCGTCACAACGCGGCCGCGGCATGAGCAAACAAATTAATATCAACGCTCACAATTAGAAATAGAGCACGCAAAACAAGTGGAAAAACGGATCTAATCTGGACTGAATGTACAGTAGCTGATCCATGAGGCATTGCTGTCATGTCTAGTTCGGTATTTAGCGAGCCGCCCAATGCCCGGCCAAATGGAGCCGATGGAGATTCCAACCTGGTCGTGGTATACACCAAAAATGGCATCTCATTTGACGAGCGTGCCATTGAGAATATTATGGGTAAGACAGTTTAATATCTCTGTTCTCGTATATGTACATATATCAAACAATATAATTTTAGAGGAAAAATCAATTGCGAGTATTAGTGTTGTGCGGCTTACATCGCCTACGCCAAGCATGGTCGATCAAGAAGAAACCGAACGTCTGGAAGAGCTGGAGCGTTTTCTTGAAGCGACAACTGATCGCGAAGAATCGGAAACAGATAATGATAGCCAAAGCGGTGGTGATGAGCTGATAAGTGAAAAGGATCATGTTACCGGCGATGATAATGACAACACCGGTTGCGAAAATAATGATGACTCCACGGAAACCGAAGCCGAGGTACCTAAGGTTAAAAAGCGCCCCGGCCGCAAGCCCAAAGCCCCCAAAAAGCAGAAAAAGCGTCGAAAACCTAAAGAACGCCCACAAATTGTGGGGCTCAGTGTCGAACAGTTCTACGCGGAGAATTCTGCCGATTTGGTGGTGAAAAATGCTCTGAGTATGTAGTTTAACATAGAATTATTAGCTAAACTAATGAATATTTATACAAATTGCAGAGTTGGCTGGCTTATCTATATTCAAGCGCACGCCGGAGACAGATGCTTTGTTAGAGATCATTCGAAACGATCACAACTACACTCCATTCACGTCGCCCGAACAAATGAAGGCACAGAAGACGGCAGAAAGAATGGCTTTGGAAAGGCAAACAGTCCAAGGACGCAAATTTATCGTTCACACCCAATCCAATGTCAAAATGTTGAGCGCTAAAAAGCGATTCCAAGTGGTGCCTATTAAGCAGGTACATACCACAACGCAGCAACCACTCAGGCAACAACATTTACCTCCTAAGCCACCACAGCAGCAGCAAAGACAACCGCAGCAGCTTCTGAAGCAACCACCGCAGCTGCACAGGCAGCAGGTACACAACCAGCTGCAGCAGCCGCCAGCATCCAAACAGCAGCAGATAATTTTACCGGGGCCACGGCCAGTTCGTAATACTGTCAAAGTGATAAGTCCTGCGGAGGACTTTGTAGAGGATGACGAAGATGCAAACAGCTCGGCAACTGCTGACGAGGAGAATGCCGATACCGAGGAACATAGCGAGCCGAGTGACGCTTCCCGTGAAACTGACAACGATCGAGACAGTGATATTGATTTCAAAATGAACAACAGCCGTAGCACGAACAAACGTAGGCGCATTAAGAAGTTTTCCAGGCGATCCCATTCGCAGTCTGCGCGTGGACAAACAGTGCATACACCAAAGGTGCAACAACAACAACAGCAACCAGCACAAAGTTCAGTTCCACATTTCAAGCGGCGCAAAGAGCAGACGGATATCAATTTGTCTGCACCAGCAATTGGCCAGATTGTTCAGCTCAATACAAAAGCGCCTCCATCAGTAATTGCCTTGGGTCGTAACATATTGAGCACATCATTTCTTAAAATGCGCCCAACCCACAAATCTCTGCCCACAACCACTTCATTACCGAATGAGGCAAACAGAATGTCGGCCTCCGCAGTCGCCGCTAAGATGCGGAGAGCACCATTTGTGCAAGTTGGTCGTGTGGTGAATGTGCCACCGGGCGGGTTTGTGACCCCGCCGCAAGAGGTTAAAGAGATTATTATAAATAAGAATCTGTCAAGCCCCAAGGGTGTATTCACAAATCTAAACAGTCTACTGGCTGAGAATAACAATACGGCGATGCTGACATCAACACCGGATAACAGCAAACAGATCCTTTTAAATACCCCCAGCACTCCCAAGTCCAGTATGAATCCGCTGCCAACGCCGGCGCCGATAACTAAGGGCTTTATGCCCATTGGCGTGGAGACGGCAACCTCTCACAAGTTACCCGCACAGATTGTTATCGAAACGCATCAGAGCTCCTCGGAGCTGGCTGCCGAAAATGACAAACAACTTGATCTCATTGACTCTATTGTGCAGGATGAGCTGTTGAAGGCATCTTTAGTCGAAAAACCGCCTGCCACGGCCGATGAGAACATACCCAAACTAGTTAAAATGCTAGAGAGCACCGCCGCGTGTCTGGATCAAGTACCCGAACCAACAATGAATGCGCTCAATGTCCCACAACAACAGAGTTTTGATGGTAGTCTGGTAGCAAATGCTGTTGTGGATAACATTGATATAACCAGCGCACGTTTGCTGGAAACTCCAGACGAGGATGAAATCACCGCGGATTTCCTTCAACATGTTGTGGGCCTCATAGAGGAGGACAAACAATTTGAAGCCGAGGTGGTCAAACAGGTGCTGGCCAGCACTGAGACGGGTGGTCTAGATGCAATTGCAAATGTTGTTGCGCCGCCAATCTTCGATGTTGTCAGCCAGTTGCCAACAATTTCTCAGGTAAGTTTTTAATATAAATTACCAAAAATAATACTCTGATATATGCTTCTCCCTAGCCGCTGCTCAATGATTTTCCCGCCAATGTTGTAACAAGTTCTTTGACCAATTTGCCCATGGCGTGCAGCACTCCCGCTCGCTCCACTGGAACGTTAACGTTGTCATCCCGCCCTGAGACGAAAATTGTGCGAGGCAATGGACGTGTCATTTATCTCCCACCCATTGAGGCGCCCACGACGCGCGCCAAGCGTCGAGCTCAGAACTTTCCCGTGACAGTGACAACAATGTCAGACATTAGTAGCACGTCGCTTACAGAACCAAACCTGGATAGCAGCCACTTGACCAGCAGCAGCTTAGATAGTGACAGCTTTTCGTCACAAATTGGTGGCGTAGCTAGAAAACAGCTGCCCAGAGAATCCGCTGGGAGCGTCAGGCGGCCTAGAAGATCAAACAAGCCGAATATTAGCAGCGAAGTTAATGATCCGGAAGCCTCGGAATCTCAAGAGGACGATGATGATCCCAATAAGTAAGCATTCTGTTAAGTTCATACTATGCGATACTAAAATTGCATTTGTGTTAGGCTATGGTGTATCTGTCGTCAGCCACACAATAATCGATTTATGATATGCTGTGATCTCTGCGAGGATTGGTACCATGGAACGTGTGTTAGTGTGACAAAGGCCATGGGCCTGGAAATGGAGCAAAAGGGCATTGACTGGAAGTGTCCCAAGTGCGTTAAAAAACAGGAGGAGAAGGTAACTATTAAAATACTTTTAAAAATATTTGCAGCATAATCAAGTATTTAATTGAAATCCGGAATGATTTAAGTTTACACAATAATTTGAACTAATTTTAATCCTACCCATACATCTACCCGCACAGAGTCAACCACGCATCACGGACATGTTGTTACCCAAGCAAATTATGGAGCCAGCCGAGTGCGTGGCGTTATCTAAGCAACCAAACGAAACCAGTGGAACTGTTGAACTTCAGCAGCTTACGCCCAAGCCATCTCCGCCAGGTTCCGGAGTATCGATGGCATCGATACCCATAAGCTCAAGTAGCCCGCTTGTGAAGCAACAAAAACGGCAGCTGCTCAACAAGCCCCAGCCGAGAATGCATCAACAGCAACTGCATTTCATCAAACTTGGCGGAAGCAGCTTCACATCCCATACGGACGTAACCTGCGTGGTATGCAAGCGTCCAGCGCGCGTCAATTCGGTTTATTGCAGTGACGAATGCATTCGCAAATATGCACAGACCGCAATTCAGGCACAGACTGTACCGAAGACGCCGGAGCCGACGCAGCCACCAGATGCTCCGCAACCACCGCTAGGAAACGCACCCGAAGCCAAAAAGAACAAAAAGAAGGATCTGTTTGAGGATGTGCTGCGCCAGGCAGATTCCATGTCGAAGGTTGAGCGGGTATGTGAACTGGTGTGATAAATATATTTGCTTGTTGCTATTGTAACTTAACTTGCCAGATCAATGTCTTTGAGCGCCGAAGCGGGCGTGCTATTACGGGTCACTTAGCGCCCAGCGCTCAGCAACTAAAGAAATGGCTGCAGGATAATCCCAGCTTTGAAGTAGTGCAGCCTGGCAGTCAGCAGGCGCAGGAAATAGAGGTAGGCAAGATGAAGATGTATATAACACATCTAATCTAATCCAATCTTCTCCAGAAACGTCAAAACAAACGGCAGCTAGAGCACTCTACACCAGAGATTATCACAGTAAAATCTTCTATGTCGTTGCCAACACAAACGCCACATGAAACTCCGAACAGATCCTTACAGATGCTAACAGCTGTGCCCAACATGGCAAAAAGGGAGAAGCCTGCCGGCAAGGCGACAACTACGCCTAGCCGATCACCCGAAAAGAGCAGCACGGAAAGACCTGTGAGTAATTCCCAGCCTGAACCCATACGTTTCAATGTACGACGCACGCTTAAGGAGCAATTGCTGTCGCGCATAAGGGAGGCGCAGGCGGCAGAGTTGCCAACAGAAAAGTCCGATTGGCTAACTGCGGCGGAGGTGGAAAACTTTGTGAAGCGAGTGGAGTCGGAAATGTATCATTCGTTTGGGCGAGATGTGAGCGCTAAGTACAAGTCTAAATATCGATCCCTCATGTTTAACATCAAGGACCGTAAAAACAAGACGTTGTTCGAGAAGATATGTGCCAAGCAAGTAGAGCCCAAGCAACTGGTTAGAATGACACCGGCTGAGTTAGCTAGCCAAGAGCTGGCCAAGTGGCGTGAGGAGGAAAATCGACATCAATTGGATATGATCAAAAAGTCCGAGCTAGATTTATTGTCATGTGCACAAAACTACGTGGTAAAAACGCACAAAGGTGAGGAGGTAATCGAATCCAAGGTGGATGTAACACTGCCAGAAGAGGAGTCAGAGTTGGAAGCGAACAAATCTAAGTTGGATAGTTACGACAGCAAAAAATCATCTCAATCTATTATGGACACCTCGCCCGCCACAGAAGTTAACAGTAAAGAGAAGTCCTCCAGGGCGCGGGAAAAGGAGCGCAGCCGTGACCGTGACAGAGACAAGCGGCATAGGAGTCACAAGCATCATCATCACCAAAGTGGTAACAAAAGAAGCCGCAGCCGGTCAAGCAGCAGAGGCCGCAGTCAAGAAAAGCGCAGCCACAAAAGGCACCATCAGGAGCATGAACTGGATAAAGAAAAAGAGCAGCCAACACGGGACAGGCAATCAAGTAAGGAGCACGCCGAAAAACTCCAATCCCCGCTGCACAAGAAACCAAATGACAAGAAAGCAGAACCCCCCTTAGTAGCTTTTAATTTGATTGATCAAATTCTGGATTCGGAGAAAACGGTGGAAGAGGCCGCAAATTTGACACAGCCCGCCAAACAAATGTTAAAATCGTTGCCCGTAGTCACAAAAACAATAGCCAAAATTGATGTGCCAACACCTGGTTTGGATAGATACGCTCGCTATGTACAGGGCCTGTCCAACCCGGCAATTTGGACTGGCAATTTAAATATGGTGGATGTCACCAATTTTGATGTGGTCATTCACTCCGTACACGGGGATACAAATCAACTGGATAAGCTGCTGCCCATCAATTTGGATGTTATTGGTCGCATAACGCGTGTGAATGTCTGGGAATATCTCAAAAAGATCAAGAAGAGTCCCACCAAGGAGATTGTTATTGTCAGTTTGTTTCCTGCCAGCGTCTCAAACACTGTTAGATTTGACAACTTCTTCGAATACCTTGACTCACGACAGCGTCTTGGTGTTTTGGGTGCCGACTCGGAATATATTCGAGACTTTTATATATTCCCCTTGGGCACCCGTGATAAGTTGCCCACAGTGCTACACACATTAGACAGTGTTCCCTTCTACGAGGACACGCAACGGCCAAACACGCTGCTCGGCATAATTGTGCGTTGCCTGAGCAAACGTTTGGTTAACTTGAGCCAGACGCTGCCCATACCATTACCCACTGCCAGCAACAAAACTGCAAAGGTAGCATTAGCTTACATATCTGAGAGATGTTGACTATATTTTTTCCCGTTTATTTTTCAGAGTTCAAGCAAAGCACGCGTTAGAACAACGTTCACGCCTCCGAGCAGTCCGAAGCGCAAGCATAGCACGCACTCGACCAGCTCTAAGGATGACGAGTTCGATATTGATGCCATTATCAAAGCGCCTATTGCCAAGCTGCAAAAGTGTGAGTACTGTGTATATTAGCCAAACCCATTCGTCAGCTGCAATAAAATATAATGTTCAATTCCAGCAAACGTTTCGGCAGAAGCGCGGGCTAGCATAGATGATCCGAATGCGCCATATTCGCCCGGTGGCAGCTCTGACGACAATGATGATTTGCCCACATCGGCTTCAGGCAATAAGAATGACCTGGAGCGCAAAGTAAATGAAATTAATAAGCAAATCGCTGCGCAACGCATGGAAATAGCCGGCCTCTTAAATGTAGAGCCATCTGTGAGAGCCTCGAGAACATTGCAATTAAGAATTGCCCTAAATAATTCTGTTTCGATCCACAGATTCTAGACAAACCCTCGTCATCATCCAATGTGCTAGCCAGTATATCAATACCGCCTAATCTGACCAAGATTTTGGCTAGCTTAAAGGAGAAGAGTGAGTCGCAAGCTAGACCAAAGTCAAGCGATGATGAGGAGTACAATCCAGAAGATGCAATCACGTCAAACAGCTCCTACGGCATGGGTAAGAGGGTGGATTATAAATTGATTTTGCTTCGAACACAATCGCTGATTGCTTAACAATTTTCCAGCTACTAAAAGTGCAGAGGGTGCGACAAGGGCTAAAAGTCGCTTGGCGCAGCTAAGTGAAGCAGAGCTTCTTAGTATGGTGCCGGATAATATGGTGGATCTAACGCCGACAAATTCTGCCAGAAACGATGAGCCCCCACCGCCTGGTGTTTAGGCTAAGGCTAAGCGCAGTACGGTTATAATAATCATAATTTAGAATTTACGTGTGTACTTGACTAGCTTTGATCTACCTAATCTTAGTTTTGAATGGAATTCAATTTATAAATATCCTTTGATTTTCGCCTATCATTATGTACATTCACGTTCAACGAATTGAATACCATTTCTGTATTATACCCAGCAATCGAAACAATTGAAAAGATGTCCGTGTTTGGATACACTTGGTTTATCTTTTTATTAAACACACAAATTTGGAAATTGTAGGGTTTCCTTGAGATATACCAACTAACCTTCTAAGTTCTTGTACATTTTACTTAAATACAAATAAAAAATTGCTATGTAACATTTCTAATAGGGATACTTTATTTGATATTGTATTGATTTAATTGCATACTTAGTTAATCTCACATGGATCAAACTGGCTGTCGAAATGGGCACAAGATATTTTAGGTCCATTGTGCACTCTTGGAATGGCTATACGAAAGAGTATGCCAATCGGCATGCATACGCAAATCTTGTACTGCACGTTACCAGTGCGAAGACCCAGCTCCGAACTGACAATCGGTATGCGATCCATGTCTAGGAAGATTCCTTTGCCTGCTTCCAATACTGTTGCGCCCTGTGTTGAGTTAACTGAGACGTGATGCTCGACGTGCAGCTCTATGATAGTCCCATCGAGGAACACGCCCTCGGAGCCCTTGATGGAAATGTGACCGTCACTGTCTATAAGCAAAGGGGCGTCAATAGGGCTGGAAACGCGGCTCACACTGGCCACCTTGGTTTGTAGAGCACCATCCATTCCATCGGGTATATTGTATTGTGGTCGGTGGGTTGTAAACAATGTCGATTGATCAACTGGATCTTTGATTTCAAAGACATTGGCTTCTATGGCAATTCCCTCCTTGTCGAGCACAACTCGATCACGTTCATTTGAGGCACTGGAAGTGGCACCATTACCATTGCGAAAGACCCGTAAATGCACTCCACTGTCTTCTCCATCGCTGCTGATCGATACGGGCACATCGGAAAAGCCGTGTATTCCAATTGTATTGGTTTGGATGCGATCCAAATCGGTTTCATCATAGAATTTAACTAAATCAACTTCCGGAATCAGCTCCATGCCCTGTACACCCTTCCCCAAACGTAGCACGCCCATAATTGTGAGAGTCAGGATCAAATTGCCTATTGTCAACATTAGCAGGACTACGACAGCGATCCAAAATGCAAAACTATTACGTCTTTTACGGCTGGGATGCAAATGGGAACAGCTATCATCATCGTATGCACAATTGAACTTCTCATCGAAGAAATTTACAGTGTCCGTCTTCGAATCAACCCGGGCCAGGTCCATGTCGGCACCTCCAATAGGCAGTGTAACGGACAAGGCAGTTTCCGAGTTCGCTTCGTCTGAGTATGATGGCGAAGGGCCTCTTATAAAAGTATTTTCAAAAATGTCCATTTTTCGTTTTAAAAGATTGCTGAACTGTCTTTTGCCAATTTGTCTGCTGTGTGTATGCGGTACGATGAGCATATATAATCCAGATTTAAACGCATGCGCATTGCACAGATTAAACCAGATTTGGCGCCAAGTTTAAACACAATGCCCTAGCTGAAAATGACGTCTATGCGATTGTCGGGGACAATTTATTTAAAAACTGGTTACATTTGTATTCGATCTATCTAGAGATAACTTAATATGAGCAGACATTGTTCATAAACCAGCTTACATCATTCAATTATATATCATAACCAATATTTTTATTTGCTGGACACACTCGCTCTGTACATAATTATAAATCAATCATTTAGAAATAGTTAAATAATTTTGTTCAATCCTAATTATGAATGAATAATAATAAAATAATAAATGAATAAATTTTTTAAATTGTACTAGATAATTATTAACTATTTTTATTTTGTCACTTTTATTGCGTCAAATGACCGTGACTCGCAACTTAAAAATACGTGTGACAAGTAACTAATTGCAGGCCATTAGAAAAGAGCGAACGATAAACTTGGTTCGCTCTTTCGGTTCGATTGAACTTATTCCGGACGATTCGATTCAACTCCAATCTATACTATTTCATTTTCGCAACATGTCCTTTAAGGTAAGTTTAGATTTTAATGTAAATGATTTTATTGTATGACAGCATTTTATTTGAATACGATGCAGCCAATTGATCCCAAACGCGACGAGATTCGTCGCTATCTGGAACGCGGAAGCGTTCTTGATTCACTTACAAAAATATTTATACGTGTAATTAAGGAGCGCCCAGAAAACCCAATGGAGTATATACGAAATAACATTGGCGTGGTGCGGCATCAGCATGATAAATATGAACGCCTATCACAGGATCTTCAGGAGGCAAACGAAGAAATCCAACGTTTGCGTGCCATTATAAATAGCATTAACCCCGAGGTGCTGCAGGGACAGGGTCAGCACGCTGCCGGCGAATCCGATTCCGAGCCAGTGACAGTTGCCGTGCAAGTTGAGGACTCTTTCGAGTCTGAGATCACGCAAGAAGTCAAACAGGGTATACCTGAAGTAAACAAAGTAGAAAATACAGCAGTTGACAAAGCTGATAGGGAGTTGAGCGCAGCCTTAGACGATTGCCACATTGAAGAAAACAACATGGCTGCTGGCAATACGATCGATAATACAAAGCATAGCATATCCGTCCAAGCTGAACCCGGCCACACTGATAATACCGAGTGAATCATTTTACTAATTTGCTAAGCTCACATATAAGCATACCATTAGAATGCATTCTCGTAGAAATGTTACCAGTTTGTAAGACTAAGAAGTGTAAGGTATTTTCCTAAATGTTAATAAAACGTTCGTGGAGGCACGCAAATTCCTTAACTGGTTTTAAGTATGTATTCCATAACTACATATATGAATATTAATGTTCCATTAGTGGGTTTTTAAATATTTATTGAAATCAATTTTATAATTCATACACGTGGTATATCGTTTGCTTATTAATACAAAGGATTATTGATAAGACATATTAATAATAGTAAGTTATTTGTTTTCTTTTTTGTTTAAACACATCTTAAAAATGGTAAACATGAAAAAATAAAATTGTACATGTTAGCATGGATCGAATTACAAGAGTTCTTCATAATTGGAAAATGGAAGCGGACATGGGTATAAAATAAGACATGGACCATCTGTATCAATAGTTTTGGCTACAATGTGGACGAACATAAACTGATTTTTATTTCGAAGGTCAAAACTTGGTGTTTACTTTTACTTTCTTGGCAAGCGTTAACTCTTTGTTTTATCTCTTTCTTTCTCATTTCCTTCAATTTTTCAATTTGTATGCCATAGTTTTAATTTAATTATTATTTTTTTTTTTTTACAAAGCCCTACTACGTTTATTTTGACCGACTGTTACAGTCGCCTTGATCGTATGTCTATGTGAAATTAAATTGATCTTGTACTAACATTTTAGTCTCGTGTTTAAATTGGACAAAACTATATGTACATGCATATGTGCATGTGTCGATATACGACTCTTGTTGATAGAGGTGTGGTTGTATGGTTAAATGTTTATCGAAATAAATGGTTTCTACGTAAATTATGCCTGTTTGAATGCATGCGAATGTTTTGTAATTGAAGCAAATCTCTTTATTTCTTAAAAGGTCAAATGTTGTCCAGGATTGGGTTGCATTTTATAAAGTTTTTTACTGGACGCAGAGCGTTCGGTTCTTCCCTCTCTGGCCGCATAGTCGGTGCTAGGTTTGTAAAATTAGATTTGCCCCTGCTGACGATAGAAATGTAGATAAGAATTTGATAGGCAAGCTAATATGTTAGTCGCTTTACTTACGTTGAATCATTAAATTTCTTATTGGTTTGTTGCCTGCTTTGTAAAGAAAATTGTGTTTGTGTGTGGGAAATTTATTGGTGATATTACTTTTTACGCTTGTCTGCCGGTTTTAAAATCTGGAATGAGCACATTAGAGAGTCATCCACAGACATCATTGCGCCAGCGTTGTCAAATTCGCCGCAATAATTGGGTGCCGAGAAGAGTGTGACCAGCTGACGCTTTGCAAAGAACTCATAGCCATCCTCGACGACCTGATGGGCGCGGCAAATGAGATCGAACTCGTGCTTCTCTAAGAATTTGGCCACAACCTCAGCGCCGAAGGTGAAACTGACGCCACGATCATTCTCGCCCCAGCCCATGGTGTCCTTATCCGGATCGGACCACAGCAAGTCGCATAAAAGACCCTGATCTGGCACATCGGTTGGACGCATAATGCGTCGGATTTGCTCCATCGACGAGAGGTCCGGGCTGAGACCGCCATGGCAACAGAATATCTTCTCATCCACAATGGCCGCTACTGGCAAGCAATTGAAGCAATCAGTGAATGTCTTCCACAATTTGATGGTATAGCGGCGCTTGCACTCGTCATAGAATCCATAGATGCGGTTTATGCTGGCGCATTCGTGGTTACCGCGCAGCAAGAAGAAGTTCTCGGAGTATTTGATTTTATAGGCGAGCAGCAAGCAGATGGTTTCCAGCGACTGTTTTCCACGATCGACGTAGTCGCCCAAGAACAGGTAATTTGATTCCGGGGGAAAGCCACCGTACTCAAAGAGACGCAGCAAATCGTAATATTGGCCATGTATGTCGCCGCAAATCTTCAATGGTGCTTCCAGCTCCAAAAGTATGGGTTGCGAGAGGAATATCTCTCGCGACTTCAGACAGAGGCCACGAATTTCGCTCTCGGAGAGCTGAACATTTTTGCCTGGCCGTGCCCCACGCACTTCCAGAAGTCTTGATATGATGCTGTCGATATTCATAACATCGCCCATGTTTCTGTATTGTTTTTTGCTGCGCAGTTACTGTGCTTTAATTTTCCACCGAAGAATGGCAAGTAGCTCTGATGTATATTTTTCACTATAAATATTTTTCACAGCACAGCTACTACCAGAAAATTTCTCCAGTGTGCCCACATTTCACAAAAAACAGGAGGAAGTGAAATGGGCAGTTAGTCACACATTTCACATGCAGTGTGTCCCACTTGCACTAACAGGGTTGCGCCGTTGCCCGCCATATGCGTCGTTAGGCTTTTGTTGGCGTGGTGCAAGCAGGACAGCTATGGCTCTAATTGTTAGCACCTTGCCAACTTGATTTCAAAATATTATACGGCAACATCATTAGCATGTTATCAACTATTATTTAAACTTTTTGACGGTTAAAAAATACCGACCAAATATATTAGCCAATTTACTAAATTCCATGTAATATAATGTGAGTGAGTGTAGGGTGTTTCAATAATTGAAATTTGGTACACAACTATATTTTTGTTTTCTTTGGTCACACAATCATGAATGCTGTCTCACTTAATTGAGTGTGAGCTATGCGCTAAATTAAATTTAATTGAATTAGCGCCTGTTAAAAATGTTGCTCGAAATTATTACTAAAAAGGAATGTAATCAGGTATATTTAATTGCGGAAATTGGCCAAAATCATCAAGGATGTCTTGAAATTGCCAAATCGATGATACTAGAAGCAAAAAAAGCGGGATGCAATTGTGTAAAATTTCAAAAATCAGATATGAAAGCGAAGTTCACCCGTTCCGCCCTTAATCGAACATATGAAAGCGTTCACTCCTGGGGTAAAACCTACGGTGAACATAAGGAATTTCTTGAATTTTCCAAGGAGCAGTATCATCAGTTGCAAGCATATTGTGATGAAATTAAAATTGATTTTACTGCGTCTGCTATGGATGAGGTAATTAAGAATGCCGTTGATTAGCACTGGTAGATTAATATCTTTACAAATTTTTGTTTATTTTTAAATTTTGCAGCCGTCATTGGATTTCCTTGTAGATTTAAAGGTACCCTTCATCAAGATTGGTTCAGGAGATGCGAATAATTTTCCACTTCTGACAAAAGCTGCAAGTCTCAATATACCTTTAGTAATATCGACCGGAATGCAAACCATGCAAACAGTTGATAAGATCGTAGAAATTATGGGGCAAGCGGGCAACAATCAGTATGCGTTGATGCACTGCGTCTCTGCCTATCCGACCCCCCCGAATGACTGCAATTTACAAATGATCGTAACACTAATGCGACGTTATCCCAATGTTGCCGTTGGATACTCTGGGCATGAACTGGGTGTACGCATCACTGAGGCAGCTATATTGACTGGAGCTAGGATAGTGGAGCGACACTTTACACTGGACAAGAATCAGAAAGGCTCCGACCACAGCTGCTCTCTTGATCCCAACGAAATGTTGTCGCTGGTCCGCTGCATAAATGAATTTAAGCATAACGAATATATATCCACCCCTAGTCTCAGTGCTGATAAAGTAATTGCAATCTTGGGTGGCGGAAAGCAGTTAGAGCAAGCACTACAAGAAGCTAAGGGAAAGGACAAATTTATTTTAGAGAGTGAACTGCCTTGTCGCAACAAATTGGGTAAATCAATTGTAGCTGCTCGAAATCTAGACGTAAGGCAAACAATTCAAGCGGCTGATTTAGCAATTAAGGTCAGCGAGCCGTCGGGTATTTCTGCAGAAAAATATTTCGACATAATTGGCATGAGGCTAAAGGACAGCGTCAATGAAGATGACCCCATAACTGAGAATATGCTGATACCATAAGTCAGCGACGTTTATTGATTAAGTTTGTTAATAAAAAATGTAATAAAATTCCTATTGACCAGTTTATTCAGCTGCGTCGTCGCTGCCTACATCCTCGATTTCATTCTCGATCATTTCAATATCTTCCTCAAGATCACCTTCCTTTTTGTCGGGCGGTTTCTCATATACGGGTTTTAGCGGCGATACAACTACTCCATTCCATACGGACATTTCGCGCACAATGCTTGTGTTACCTTCCATTCCCAGTATGTGCTTGTATCCACCGTGGGCTAATACCCGCAGTAGCGTTTGAGCCGTATAGCAGCATACGTCCTGCTGCTCGAGAGACATGGCTGTGTGGACCCGAATGTGACCCGGCTCGGTTGGGTCGGTTATACCCGCCGATCCTGGAAGAAAAAGTCCAGCAGACAGCAATTGAAACACACGACGAAATGCCAAATTGATAGGCAACGCTTGTCGCGATGGATTATTCATTATTGCCAGATGGGCAATCAAATCAAGCATCCAGGCGGAGAGGGGTGAAAAGGGTTCAAATCGCTTCGTCAGATCCTTTAAAATACGTATGAGAACTTTAATTGAGGAATGGTGAGCATTCTCCTCGAACCAGCGAGTATGACGTATTGCCGCTAAATGACTCTGCATCAACTTATGATCCAAATGTATTTCCGGTTCGAGTTTACGGATGTTCTGCGGCAATGTGGAAATAAGAATGCGCACTTTGGCTTGCAAATTGGACACATCGAAGCCTCTATCGTGTATTTGTATGGTGTGTTGTTCATCCTTGGTCAACACTTCGGTTTTCATGCTATTTTTTAAGTCAGTCTCCACCTTCTTGGCCAGTGCTTCGCAAGCTTCTTTAGTGGGCAGTGTTTTAAGGATAACTACAACATCTGCCACATTGTTTCCAGTGAGGATAGTGCCTTTTTTGAAAGATCCAACTTGCCGCACTTCTTCCAATTGCTATAGTGTATATTTGTAAAAGTTAATTTATGTAGGTTTATGTTACTGTGGCAACTTACACAAGTATTGAAATCGCCTGGCGCAACGACCAAGTTATCTAAAACAGCTTGCACCTTAGTTACCAAGTTTCCAATTGCCGTCTGCTCGGCCGGAGTTGGACTAAGATCTTGGTTGCGTTTCAATAGGGCCTAATAAACAAAAGTAATCACATAAATGTTTGATTGTATACATATAAATAATTTTATTATTATCGATTTTACCGCAGTCAAGGCAGAATCATCCACAGCCGGCGAGACTCTGGGAAACACAACTTCGGCCAAAGTTATATCAAAAGGATGACGAGGTACAAATGCTTTCTTGAAGGGCGGCCGAATGCCACCGCGCATAGGCCTGCCGCCTCGAAGCGGTCCACGTACCATACTTTTATTATAATGATTAATTTTGACGAATTTTATTGCTAACTCGACCTGTAAGTCCCACACTGCGTCTACGATAGTTTTCAATGTATTTGTAAATGGTTGCAATGACGATAGTTCGAAAAATTTTTGTTTAGTACTGGTCGAGTTGCAAAAAGAAATAATCGATAGATTCCATCGGTTAATTACGTTGATAAGGTCAGACATAGCAAAAATCGTAATTTCTATGTACATGCCTTTTAACAACAATGCCAAATTTAAATTAAGAATAATTTGATGAAATTCTATTATTGTTTTTTTTTTATAATATCGATTCCAACGATTGATCTCCCATCACATTTTACCGCGGTATTTTTTTAGTATCGTTGTTTATAGAGCCGATACTATTGGGACCATTAGCGATAGTGTCACAGCACTAGTTTCTGCTTGTCATCTTTTCCTTTTGGTGTGAGAATTGTCGGCATTTATTTAAAAATTATTGTAACAAAAATTTAAGCCAACAATAATGGCTACTGAACGTTACAGCTTCTCTCTGACAACATTTAGGTAAGTTGTGTTTCACAATGCTCCGTAAACAATATTTTCCCCGTTTTTGATATGTGGAAAACGCGTCTGCATGACTGGCATAAATATAAATTTTATCATTTATTTGCAGTCCTTCAGGAAAGCTCGTCCAATTGGAATATGCCTTGGCAGCCGTCTCCGGAGGGGCACCTTCTGTTGGTATTATGGGTAAGCCTACTTCATGAATTGCACTGTGCCAGGTGTGTAAAACGTTTGGTTTTCCTTAGCATCCAATGGCGTCGTTATTGCAACAGAAAATAAATACAAATCGTCGCTTTATGAGGAACATAGTGTGCACCGCGTGGAAATGGTAAACAAACATATTGGAATGGTATATTCTGGCATGGGGCCCGACTACCGCTTACTGGTGAAGCAAGCACGTAAAATCGCCCAGTCATACTATCTCACTTACAAGGAACCCATACCGGTGTCACAGCTCGTGCAGCGCGTGGCTACGCTCATGCAGGAGTACACTCAGTCGGGGTAAAAAATATATATTTTCATTAAAGTATATTTTATTAAACTAAATTTTACTTTCTTTAGTGGCGTGCGTCCGTTTGGAGTGTCACTATTGATTTGCGGTTGGGACAATGACCGTCCATATCTTTATCAATCGGATCCCTCAGGTGCATATTTTGCCTGGAAGGCCACTGCAATGGGCAAAAACGCCGTTAACGGCAAAACATTTTTGGAAAAGCGGTTAGTATGGCATAAATGTATGCATTTTAACAACTTCATAAAGCTCGTGTTGCGCTTGTAGGTATAGCGAAGATCTTGAGCTGGAAGACGCGGTGCACACTGCCATTCTGACTCTCAAGGAAGGATTCGAAGGAAAGATGACTTCAGATAACATTGAGGTTGGAATCTGTGATCATAACGGTTTTAAGCGTTTGGACCCTGCCACAATTAAGGACTATTTGGCAAACATCCCTTAAATTTTGCTTGACGTTCAAAGAAACCCAAGCTAAAATTTTCCGCGAGTACGTTAACAATGAAAATAAAGTTTGTAAGTGTTCCGGGTTTTGAAATTAATCAAGAATTCTAGCTTTTTTATGTTCAAAAATGTGGTTATTCTTTAAATGGAATTCGGTTTCAATGTTTTTGTACAAATGTATGTTACAGGCACCCCATTAAGTACATATTCTTACTCATCATCAACACTCATGTTGTCTATCCGTCCGTATGTATGATCGCGTCATAAGAACTGGAGACTTGATATATTGAACGTGGATCCTCAGTTTCGGATCGATCAACGATACCTTTCTAACATACCAATTTTTGTACTTAACTCTTACATGTATAGTGCACACAGGTTTTAATATTTACACACATTGGTAGAGCGGGGCATTTCGTTAGGATCGGTCAAGAAAGCATCAGACAGCGTGCGTGCGTGTTTGTATGTTTTTGTAAAGATATGTAATGCGATCAAGAATGTTTGTAATACCAGTTAAGCGCTGGGTTCAGGATTCTAGTCTCCTAGTTGGGCAATCCCGACTAGAGCACTCTCACTTATTAGTTTTTTATTTTATTGTTTCTTGTTGATTGTTTTTATTTCATTTCTTTTTGGACTTATTTTCTCTTCTTGGGCACTTTGTATATAAATGTTAGTGTGTGCGTTGAGGACGCGACTTACGCACTACGAGAACTTATTCAATGCTTAACAACTATATCAGATCAGTTATCGAGAGTAGTTACTGCTTACTGTTAAGGCTATGTATGATTATTTACAATTTAAAGAATACATCGATATTAGTCATAGACTCTCGTATCCTGTGCTGGAAAATATTGATGTTGTATTTGGAATATTCCACATGCATATTTTTTGTGGCTGAGACCAAATCCACAATCAAATATTCAAGCAGCGCAGTTTTGTCTCCGGTATTCGGGAAGTAAACTCGAATGATGGCGGGCGGCGTACGTCTTCGTGTGAGTCGCGACGTATGCGATCAGGATTGCGACCCATTACAGATGACAGAGGGATTTCCTTGCGGTAAATCTCCTCCAGCACCAGTCGCTCTAGCTCAAATAAATGTTCATCGCGCACCCCCGGGATCTCCTCGTGCATGAAGAGTGCCAATCGCAAAAGATATTCCGCATTGTGTCCGCTCGGTCCGCGGCAATTTGCGATTTGTTCTGCTATTACCGCGAGTGGTGCATCACCCAGCCAATGTCGGTTCTCCGGTGTAGCCACATATACCATCACCTCGACGGCCTCACCACTAAAGGGTGTGTCATGCGAAGCGACGCGGGGAAAAAATTTTGTTTCAAGCGTTGCATAGCCACCTGTTGTTTACAAAAGAAGATAAGGTAGAGTTGGCCCATATATATATATTTTTTTTATATTTATGAATGCTTACCCAACGTGCATTCGCGTTGCTTGAGATACTCCAGAGCCGTAGAGCCCGTTATTCTGTATGCACAGCCCCATGTAATGCCCTGAAATTAAAAAAATTAAATTATTTTAATAAAAAATAGAAAAAAAATTAACGTTTAAAGCGTAAAGTAACTTTGATGGTTTAAAAATAAATTTGTTCGTATAAAAAAAGATTTCGTTGAGCACGCGCGCATGTTTTTCGTATATGCTACGTGGTGTATTTTTCATGCTTAGAATTCCCAACTCATTTTTCGGCGTGCGTCACACATAAATAGCGGCGAACGATAATTATTTCAGCCCGCTTTGAGTTTTCCTTGCTTGTCTCTCGGGGTCACAAACGAGCTCCTAGTAGCTCTCATTTATCACCCTGGGTAAAGTCCCCGGGCCACGGATAGAAAGTATCAAGGCGTAAAAAACAGTTGGTGCGACGGTTTTCTCCGTCGTGTTCAATTTCGCCTATATTTCGCGGTATTTCGCCTTGCGTACTCCAATGAAGAGAGAACCGTATTAAGGGTCTCGAATTGTTGCGCTCGGTTGACTGCGGAAATGTGCCAGAGAACATAAGATATGGACGAGTAGGGGGGCGTGTCACAACGCCCGCCTACACGGAATGGGGCTTACGTAGGGAAATTCAAACGCAGCGCGCAATAACTTTTTCACTCCTTTTACACACATTCATTAAGAAACTGATGTATGTTAAGACATAAAATATATGTATGTAATATACTTATTATATGGGAAATATTTAATGGGGTTGCTTACCTCTTTGTCCTCAACAAGTGTTGCGACACGTCCAGGCTGTGTAAAAAAGAATAAAGAAAAATATTTATATGAGAAAATGCGAAATGCGCTTTCTTTTTAAATTGTTGAATAAAGGGAGTGAAGGCTAGCTGCAAGCTGCACGTTCTGTTTATTTGTTTATTGTCGATATGCACATAGATCGGACCCTGACTTATTTGTACAATTTCGTTAAAATAACAAAGAACAATTTAGATTTGCTGTCGCGCAAAACTAAATGATGTTAAGGTGCCGATTATGCACGGGCACCAAAGTTGATCAATTTTTATGTAATATATGCACATACATACGTACTCTTTGTATATATATGTATATATAAAGTTGGAAATTTAAAGGCCTGTTGTTTGCTTTGTGAATAGTTCGCGCCTAAAGAAGCTTGTTCATTCTGTATTTTGTACATGTCGATATGTGTACATGTCTGTAGAACCTGCCGGTTACGCTCAGGCGACAAGTATTTAAATTTTACCCCGTCTAGCTATTTACGTCTAGGTTTGTTTTGTCCGCTACTGATAACACATACTAATTAGATAATAATAAAAACAGAGAATCGGCCACAAATGCCATGTGTACAAAAATACGGGAAAACCAGCTAGACTGTTCTCAGATGAAACGCCTGCAAATTGGTCGCCCATTAAGTGGTCAGGTGCTAGGGCTAACTAATTGAATGAAAGACTTTAATCGGTTTGACTTACCTCCTCCTCGGTGCCACGATGCGTTACGTTGCCCTGCCAGAAGCGGCGCACGTAGCCTCGTATATAGCCTGTTATGCATTTGGTGTAGGTAAAGCCCGGATACCAGCACAGGGAACCGTAGCCAAAGACCCAGCAGGCGGCGTTGCTGTCGTTATTGCCATTATCGGGACGATTCTCCTGATCGTTGTTGGCATCGTTGTTATTGTTATTGTTATTGTTGTTGATGTTGTTATTGTTGTTGTTGTTGTTGCTATCATCGTCATCACCCAGTTTGCCATCGGTGAAAAGATTCTTGAAGTGTGCGGGCACCTCGGTTGGAGCCTGATGTCCGCTGTAGTGTGCCATAATGTGTCCAAAAGAAATTGCTATCACACTCTTAATTTGAGCCCTTTGCCGAACTAACTTGTTGTTGATTTTATTCTGATGTGAAATATGTATGTGTATTATGTATAATTGTTTCTGTGTAGTGCTCGGCTTTTAAATTGGCATGCTGGAGGTATATTGTTGGGGGCATGCAACGCGTTGCTGCTATCTCACGTTTCTCATTTTACGCCCAATTTCTAAGCAGATTTCGCCGTCTCTGTATGGAGGAAAATTTCGTCAATCTTTTTTGTTACATATTACATAAAACTACAATTTGAAATGTTTCTCATGTCATATAGGGCTTACTTGATCTAACGAATCTATCTCTATTAGTTTCTACATATGTATTCTGGCAATTGTTTTGCTTTTCTTATAATAAATATTTATGCGAACCGTTCGCAAGTTGTTGCCACTGAATAGTTCCGATTCTGACCGGGAACTAAACCGCGCGACTGACGATCCTAAGTTCAAATTAAACAGCCGCGCAGCCCGTGCGAAAAACGAAAACATTTTTGAGCGAGAAAAAAAAATTATAGTACAATAAATATTTATGACGCTCTGTCTAAGTCGTCTGCAGCGTTAGCGCAATAGACTTATCTGTGAATCTACTCAAAAATTATACAAAAGTAAATACATACATACATATGTGCACGTGTGTGCGAGTTTATTCAAATTGTTGTTGTTTGGCGCCCCCTCGCTCACCCCCTCACCAAGCAGATACATAGCCCGCTCTCTCACTCTCCCACTCTCTCTCTCTCCCTCGCTCGCTCTCCCTCGCGCTCTCTCTCTCTCTCTCTCTCTCTCATCGCTGATAGTGAAACTGAATCGAACAAGTTCTTTTGCTTTTCCATAGGGTAGAGCTGACTTGCTTTAAACACGATCCATAAAAAAGTCGCCCATTAGGTATAGGCAATTATTTATATGCATACTTAATAGGTGCTAAATCTTAAGTTAAATGACACGGCAAAAATGTTACTACACAAATTGATTATCTACCATGCCAATACTTAAAAATATTTAAGTGGTATTTGACTTGGGAATTATATAGTTAATTTCTTGATAATAAGATTTGATTAGAATTATTAAAATCTGATTGGAAATATTGCGAATCATGTAGCCCACTTTGGTTATTGTTAAGGGCAATAACATTTTGCTGTATTTTATTATGTGATTTATTTATAATCTTTATACTACCCATATAAAGCGGTGTTTCCCAAGAAGATTTGTTTTTCTTTGTTTTTCCTTTGTTCTTTACACAGTGCTACTTAAACTCTACATATATCGCAATTCTATTTGCAGAAATGCTCTATTTCTTTAAATAGGCTCAGACATACATACGTGTCATGTGGTTAGCTATAGCTAGTGTCCTTATTTAATTCTATTTTGAAACATAATGGCATATATGATAACTCTGAATGGCTATTTTATCAAATGTTTTCATAAATAAATTCTTTACTGACTAATATATTAAACAACTTTATTTTTGTGCGCTACGAAATCCTTTATTAACTTTACGCTAAAAAAAAGAATAATAAAATAATAACACAGTCAATTGTAGCTTTGCCTTTCTTTGCGATTCTCATAAACACTGGAAGATTAATATTTTGTTATGGATTGGCATATATAATAAGGCCAGATTTAACTTCTAGGCTACTATTCTACCGCTATTCAAAGTCGACAGCAATATTTGGCAAGCTAAAGCAACCAGCTGCTACGGTATAAAAGAAATATTTTCGCACATACACACACATATACGCTCACACACAGAACAGCAAGTAAATAAAGCTCCATTGAGACAAATACGCCCAGTTGTACAGTTGTACAGTTGAATTGTTGTTCTTTTTCTTTATTTTTGGCAACATGGTTAGATATTGGGTTAGGGTCTGGGATTTTGTAGGCCTTTCTAACTGCGCAGCTGTTAAATAATAATTGGGACGGGAAGCCAGAAATGCCCGGCATGTTTGGCGCTCAGTTCTTTCGAATCGCGCTGGTCTGGCTGTCACAATTTTAGACTTATGTATGTATGCGTGCGTGCATGTTTAATGTTTTATATTTTTAGCGATTTTATAGCGTGTTCATGCATACTAAGTATGTATGTATTGGTGCATGAATATTTAAACATTTTGCACACTTTGTTTTGATTATCGTCTACCCCACACAGCGAGCATTATGAATGTGTGCGATTTCTGTTTTCTACACGCTCTTTCTAAATATTAGCGTATTTACATTTTTTTTTTATTTTCGATTTTTATTGGATTTTTGCTTAAATAATTTTGAGGCATTTATTCGCTGACCCAAAAACAAAAATTGCGCGTGGAAAATAACCAAAAGATTTATATACCTTAAGAGGACGCACACGCACATCACTGAGATGACATACATATGTACATATATATATGTGTGTGTGTGTGTGTGTATACGCATTTGTATACATACGAACAAATGCCGACATGCCGACTCGTACAGCGGAGCGTTTTCATTTTCTATGGCCCGCCATTTATTCGTTACGTATACGCAGCGTTGAGCCAAGCAAACATTTTGTTTATAGTTGTGTATAAGAATGTTTGCATGTGTGTAGCATGTGCGTATGTGTGCACGTATCTGCGAGAGAAACCCCAGAGATACATGCTGCTCGTTTCTGAGTCCTTGATACTGAACTTTTTTCATTGTGAAAGTTTTTTGCAAACGGTTCAAGGTTGCCATTTTCACAGTGCATGGGTCATAGATAAGGGGACAATTACGAGGGGCTTTAATTGCTCGCTTGTGTGCCACATTCTTAAATTTTTATTTGTATTCTTTTTCGGGTAACAGGCGCCACAGAAAAGTGCCAGACGTATACGAGCTTTAGCTATAGTAGTATACCAAATTTTTAAATTTAACAAGATACTGTGTGTGTTTTTGATGTGTGTGTTCTCGTGTGGGGGTATTTATGTGATTATTCCTGTGTATGCACACAGTGTGAGGCTTAAATTCGTCAACAAAACTAACAAAAGCAAATAAAAGCAGACACCATGCCATGTGCCAGACGCATGTACCATTCATTGCTCATTTCCCATTACGTGCATTTGTATCTGATGTGTACAATTGTATCTTATTGCTTGTTATTTGGTGTAAACAATGTTCTTTATTTGTCGTTTAGAGCAAATTCATAGCAATCAATTAGGATGGACGTTGCCTAATGAAATACAATCCCTGCGTGTCTGTCTAATTGCAACGTGTCGCTATGCCAAAAACCTATCCCATCCGGACAGCCGCATTGTTCAAGTGCACAAGTGCACGGCTTAACAAATTCTTGAAAGTTATGAAGGCACTTCAAATGAAAATACACTAAACAGAGCGAATTTGCACTTCAAAGAATCAATTAAATGTGTATTTATTTTATTACAGACAAATTTAAACACGTTGGGCACGTAATTCAAATGACTAGCTAAAAATACGAGGCTTAAATATATTTTAAATGCAATTTGATTACAGTTGAGTGAGAGCTGCCTGCTAAAAGTGATTAATAAATTAATAAATACACCAGCAACACTTTGATAATCAATTGAAACGTTTGTTCCCGATAACAGTCAATTATATGACGCGACGTGGCCCCACAATCCGATAAGCCGTACGTTTTCATGTGCTTCTGTGAGGGGTACTTGCAAAACTCGTCGCAGACAGACTGTTTGCCAAAAGAGCTATTTTTTATTTTTTACTTATATACCTATTTATGAGCTGCTCGATAAGAGCGAAAAAAAAGAAACAAAAACGAAAATAAAGTGATTGGGTTGAAGTGTATTCAGCGCAGACATGTCTAATCCCAATAACACAAAGTGTAAACAATAATATACACATTTATAGCTATCCTTATGTCTGAGGGTTTCCTCTAGCTATTCTTCAATTAACACAATTGGCCTAATTTGTTGACTTTGCCTTTTGATCGGACCAACAATTCAGCATGCATAACAAAAGGTTATGCAATATAAATGGTTTTATACATTGTTCATGATTGGTAAAAAAATAAATAAAAATCGCTGAATATATAATAAGAGGTATTTAAATGCTTTAATAGAACAGGATACTGGGTCATGCACCTATTTAATATGCTTTACTTCAAACAAAAAACAATCTATTTTGAATGCCAAACCTGTTTAATTAGCTAAATTTGCCCCGAAAGAGAAATGAATATTTTGTTCACAAAAATGTTTGAAAATAGCCAGCTAGAATTTCTGGTTTAATCGGTATGTATATTTTCGTTATCGTTGAATGCTGCAAGTATGTACCTATATATATGTATATACTAGCGGGTATAACCCGGCCTTGCCCGTGGCACGTATGTTATAAAATCAATGTTTTCAAAAAGCTTTGAAAATTATTTTGAAACTGATTGGCCGGGAATCAAACAACTTTTACGCAAATCGGACAAAACTTAAAATTCACCAAAAAAATCTTTGAAAGGCATTTTCCACCGACGGAGTTTAGATTTTGAGAAAAATGTGAAACACGCCTCAAATAATTTTTCTTATAGATCTTTTGGAAATAAATTTGAACACAAAACGTCATCCACCAAATCTTCGACCCCCATTTGCACCAAGGAGGAAAGGATTTTTCAAAAAGTGTGAAACACCCCTCAAATGAATTTGAACATAGATTTTTGAAATGAGTTTGGGGCCGATCGGATGGTAAACAAAAAACTTTCATACAACCGTTTTCCGCCAATTTACCACTGTTGCGGGTGGAATTGCCCAAATCGCTGAAATACGTATTTCTTATGTTCTTATGTAGAGCTTTGAAAATAAGTTTGAAGCAAATCGGACACAACTTAAAACTTCACCCAAAAAATCTTCAAATCGCATTCCCCCCGAAAAACTTTGAATTCTGCGAAAAGTGTGAAACACGTCTCAAATGATTTTTCTTATAGATCTCTGGAAATGAATTTGAGCGCGAAACGTCACCCACCAAATCATTGACCTCCATTTCCACCAAGCAGGAACGGATTTTTCGAAAAGTGTGAAACACCCCTCAAATGAATTTGAACAAAGATCTTTGAAAATACGTTTAAGGCCGATCGGATGGTAAACAAAAAAGTTCCATACAAACGTTTTTCGCGATTTTTCCACACTTGCGGGTGGAATTTCCCGAAACCCCGTCTTAACGTGCACCTACATCACATAAGGTAGCTACAGTGAAAATTTCAGCTTCCTAGCTCTTACGGTTTGGGCTGTGCGTTGATCACCAATCAGTCAGTCAGTCAGTCAGTCAGTCAGTCAGGACAAACAGTTTTATATATAGAGATATGATTCGTAAGCAAATAAATATTAATGAATTTTAACAACTTAATAAAGTAGAATTCATGCGGTTTTAAATATGAAAAAATTTTAGTAATAATGCATCGGTATTAAAGTATCAATAATTTAAGTTTTTTATAGCTTTGTTGTTGCTGTCATTACTTAAGCAGTTACACCTTGAAAAAGCTACAGCTTTTATGTCGTATATTTAACTATGTAAATGGGATAAAAACAAAAGTGTAGACAAACTTAGACTAATCTCTTTGTATGCATAGCTGATGAAAGTAAACGTATTTGTGTGCATTCGAAAACGCACACATACATTTGCATACACAAATCGCAAATATATATGTATATATATACATATACATATAGATGGCACGTGTCTAAAAGGCTGAAAGTAATACTCGGTAAATAGTTTTCGCCTCGATCAGATGTTGACCTTGAAATGCAACACCCTTGGGTAGTTATGTTATATTAGTGAGGCTTTTAAGCTACGCGCATTATATATTACAATGCCTATCTATAAGCCTTGCCCCTTCCTTCCCTCATGACCCAACTGATGAGAAGTGCATCCCCCGAGCGCATGGCTGCTTCTGATTGCTTGGCCCATAAATTGTATTATTAGATTTCAGTTTGTTTTGATGCACCGACAACAACTGTAAATGTTCTCAACATTGACACATTGACAAAGAGAGAAAGAGCGGGAGAGCGTGTAGGCGATCATTGCAGCAAATAAGCTACTGTGTGAGAGAGAAACGAATGCCGATAACAGGTGTGCGAGCGTAAAGAGGAGACAAAACAACAACGCACACATATGTCGCCACATTGATAAGAGCGCGCGCAAATTACAGCAAGAGTGTTGAGAGTTGTAAGACAAAAACAATGTCAACATGCATACATACAAACAGACGTAAGAAAGTACAGCTGTATACACGCGTTGTTGACACTGAAGCTTTTGTCTGTGCATGTGAGTGTGTGCGTGTATGCGTGTGTACATGTGTTTAGAGAGCCGCGAGCTGTCAGTCAAACGCCTTATACACTTTTGGCATGCTGACACACATACATACATTCGCATTGGTTTCAATATCACAACTGATGCTGCTCGTGCAACTTTTTACCTGCGTATTTGTTGCAGCTTTCACAGTTAATGCCTAGCGGTAGACAGTTATTATTGCTTTTGTTGTTGCCGCTTGTGCTTATCAACTTCCGTTCAACTTTTGCACTGCACTCTCAGCTTTTGCCGCCCTTTTTATCAGCATCTTCTTATGTTCTGTTTGTTTTGTTTACATGTCACAGCAACATATTCACAGCGTGTATGTATGTTTGTATATGTGTGCATGTATGAATGCGAATGCGAAGCACAATCCGAATCACTCTCGACGAGCTGCGCGCCTGACCGTCCCGTGCGACGGCTTCAATGTAACTGCGTGCTTGGCGCTGCCTTTCCGCGCTCAAATATTGCCACGCAATACTTCGCATCGCTCCGTTTTTCCCTGGCCAACCAACCATTCAGCATTTCGCTTGTAGCATCGTAAATATTTAGCTGAGTGCACAAAAAAAGTGTAAAATTGTTGTCTTTAATTTTATATTAAGCACAATGTGTACATGTGTGTACCCACATATATACAGACATATGCATGTTCAATTGCGCACTTACATCTCTTCGGTTTAATTTAATTTCTTTGTGATTGCCCCGTTTTGTGGCACGTTCACAGCTGTTGCCGTTTGGGCAAAGGCAATGCCCGTGATTTGAGGCAAGCTATGATAAGAAAGCTTCCACACGTTGGATTCTGCATACTAGCTTGCTCTCTTGCTCTCTCTATTTCAGCACATGCGCTTCACCTGCTCTCACTTGCGTGTTCAGTAGCATCTCTGTCGCCTACACATTTGTTTGGCTGACGTAATTGTGGCGCGCTCTTGCCGCATGTTGCACATTTTTATGAATGGAAAGCAGAAAGCACTGCCCACGACCACGGCCATGGCAACGGCAACAGCAACAAAACATTGGATTTGGTGTAAAGCTAACACGTGAGCTGCATGTTAATCAAATTTAATGGTAAATTAATCAATTAATGATTATTTCGAATGTGACCTCGTCCAAACTTGAGATAAAAAATGTTGATAATTGTGCAGATAGTTTCATCAGTAACTCGAAAATTCTGTCAACAAAAGTTTGATAACAATCGACTTGAACGCTTGCACAATTTAATTGAGTAATTGAATTTACTCTTGATTGTTTTTTTTTGTAGTAATTACTTTGCTTAAAAATTCTTCTGAGGCTTGCATCATTAAAGAAATGCGAATATTTATATGCATACTTTAAATTAATTATTATTAATAGAAAAACGTAATGAACCATCAATTTATTAGCTTAAATATTGATTTGATGCGATTTGATTATATCCATCGTAAAAGTATGCAACAGTTATTTAAGGCTGCAAAACACGCAAGTACTTAAACCATTACAATTATTTTGCTTGACAATTGAGGCTTGCAACACCAAGGAGCTGCGAATATTTATATGCAGACGGTAAATTCATTTTTAATTATAGAAAGTACGTGATTAAATGTGCAAATTTTTTAAAATAGCTTAAATACTTATTTGATGCGAGTTAATTATTGCATCGTAAAAGTTTATATATGGCTTCAAGTGTAGCAAATACTTAAACCATAAGAATCTCGAACAACAGATGGCGCTAGTCTTTTAATGACGCTAATTGCTTAATGGGCAGCACTGGCGATGTTCTTTGATGACCAACCGAAAAAAATTACAGGCACAATCAGCAAGAGCTGGAGTTCAGAGTTCTCGACTAAAGCGATACCCTGTTCACAAATAAATCAGCGACATGAGTGAGTCTTGCCAGAATAAAAAATTTAATGGGTGTTAATAAGAGCATAAAGCAAAGAACGGTAGGGGTGGCAGATAAGGAAAAGGATTGTTAGAGAGAAAACAAATTAAAAAGAAAAGGAGTAAGAGAGTGACAGAAAGAGATATACAGAAAGAGAAAGTGAGAGACCAAGAAAGACAAAGAAAGAGTGCCAGAGCAAGTTATATGTCTATATATATATCAACTCAAAACTCAAATATATATATATATAGAGAGAGAGCGAGAGAGTGAGTGAAAGACCAAGAAAGAAAGAGTGCCAGAGCAAGTATTATAATGTAAGAGAGCGATGGGCAGTGGGGCGACGCGAAGGAAAGGGAGTCAGCAATATGGGGAAAGCAAGAAAATGGTGAAGAGGGTCAATATTATTTAAGAGAGACATATTATATTTTCAAATTCATTAAATTTTACTTAAGATCATTTTAATCCCATCGAATATATAATTTTCTAATATATAATATGATAAGAGAGTTACGCACCGTAAAATAACAATTAAAAAATTATTCTAAACACTTAATTAATAATTGAAAATTCGAAGTAAACTTGAAAATCAGATGGAAAATCGATACAGTTAGTGTTCTATGGCTGCTTGATATTTAGGGACTTATGATATATATAAATAGACTATCACAATTTTACATTTGGTATTATATAAGGACTATTATAGGCTTGTTACAAAACAATTAAGAAGGGTCGATTTTCTATTGGGATTATCTTGTGCTTGTCATAAACAACTCTGGAGAAAAGCCAACACCTTGGTGTGTTCAAAATAAAATCAAAGCAAATCAAAACAAAACATTTATCAACTCAAAACTCAAATGACAGCGAGTAAAGGTAGGAAACACAAGTAAAGCTGCGACAGAGGAGAAGCAAAACAAAGTGGAAATGGAAAATAAAACGGAATGCAGAAAACCACGAGCCGTTAGACAAAAGATTTACAATATCATTCAAGAAGATTTAGAGGTGATTTCCAAAGATATATATTTTGTTTGAGCGGCAATAAATAAACAAATCATGTGTGGGGAGGCAAAGGCAATTTTTAGTTTTTCCGCTTTTTTTCTCTCTCTCTTGTTTTCTGGTCAATTTGACGCGAAGCCAACGAAACGAGAAAAAATAACAATGAAAATGAAAATGATATTGGGAAAACTCAACGGCAAGGTGTGCAGGGGGAGGGGAGGTTGGGGGTGGGGGAGATGGTCTCTGCCACCATTAAAAGTGTCACATTAACGAATTGTTTTGCTGTCTACAATTTAGAAGCGAAACGTTAATCGTTAAGCAGGTAAATTCAAATTTATTTGACTACGAGATCTTCTAAGCCTTTCGCAAACAACAACATTTTCATTGAGCAGAAAAAACGATGAGCCTGAGCGCCAAGTTAGTCGGGGGCGTGGCCTGCAACACAGACACAACATGCGCGTCCTTCTGTTTAGAAGACGAGTGCGGCCAGTGTCTAATGGCGTGCCGCGTTATAAATAGAAGCCACTCGAGAGCAGCGCCGAGCAGCCACTCAAAACGCAGCAAGATCTGAGCAGAGCCAAGCAGAGCACATGTGAATCTGGGGAAGATTCGCGCCACACACACAGAAAACATTTTCGAATATTGTCAGCCAAATGTGTTGCGTTTGTTGCGGGCGACGGTTCGTCTCGTTCTCAGTCTCAGTCTCTTGCTCCCGTGTCCGTTCCCGTGATCGCGTGCGTTTCCCTGAACGCAACTGTGGAGTGTGGTCAAGTGAAGTGAAGTGCTTGTCAAGTGATCATTGAAGGGGTCAACTACTAGTTACTCCTAGTCATGACCAAATACAACAATACAAACGCCATGCTGACGGGCTCTGGTGCGGCCATGGACAATGCCATCAAGCAGGAATACAGCAGCTATCCGCAGCAGACGCATCCGAGTGGCTTTCGGTACGGCAACAACGGCATGCCACATCCGAATGCCCATCAGAATCCTCACCAGACGCTGCAGCATTTCTTCAGCCGCTTCAATGCCGTCGGCGATGCCACAAGTGCCGCTTGCAGCTTCAACAGCAGAAACCACCCGACAACAGATTCCGGCAAACAGCTCTCGATGACATCCTCGCCCATCTACACAACGGACTACGATGACGAGGACAGCAGCCTGAGCTCCGAGGAGCATGTGCTTGCACCGCTCGTCTGCGCCTCGGCTCAGTCCTCGCGTCCCTGCCTCACCTGGGCCTGCAAGGCGTGCAAAAAGAAGAATGTCACCGTGGATCGCCGCAAGGCGGCCACAATGCGTGAGCGACGGCGTCTGAGAAAGGTGAGTTGCGAGTCCATGGAGAACTTTTAAGGATATATAAGTTCTTAGGTGTGACTGGTTAACAATTCGCTTGAGATTTCTATTGACTATGCAGAACTTAAACTCTTTATATGTTTTCACATCTGGGAATTGGGGATCTATATAAAATAGTTTTTACACATCAAAGGGATGATGGTATATATAGATATTTATGAAATGTATATATTTATGAAAGGTATATATTTATGATTGTGTATATATATAATCAAGTTGTTAAGAACAATATTCTTTTACTTTATTTCTTTTCTTTATTATTATTATTTTTCTTCAATATAAGATCCAGGACAGTAAATCAAAGCTAATACTACATTGATTTTAAAAATATGACATTGATAAAGTTTGGCTTGAATAGTAATCCGAATGGTAAACATCAGCAATCAATATTAAACATTAATTGATAACTATCTTTTATTAGTTAGTTTGTATCATTTTTTAATTTCATTCACTTGAAAAAAAATCAAGTATACCGTACTTAAAGTCTTTGATTTTCTAATTAATAAAACTAGTTTTTAAAACATTTCTTATTCCCAGAACCAATCGAAAATGGTTGAATAGAGTATAATATTTTGTACAAACATATGTAACAGGCAAGAGGAAGAATTTTCGAACCCATAAGGTTTATATATTCTTGGTCAGAACGACGAGTTAAGTTCCGAGTCCGTCTGTCACTTTTTATGAACGCGTTGAATTCGAAACTGGAAAAGCTTGCGACCACATGCAGAACGAGTTTATAATATTCGGTAAAAGCTGAGTACACCAAATTTTGTAGGTACAGTAGGTAATTTGTTATACAGATTAAACATATTTTACTTGCGATTTACTAAGTACATACTCTGGTATGATATCTTTAAGCCATGAGCATTTCATTAAGATCGGACAATATGCACCGACCCTATTGAAGAATTCCTTGCGCAATGTGTGGAGCAAAAATTTTGCAATCCCAAGTTGACGCACTCTCACTTGTTTTTGT